GTGTTAAACCACCGTCAGTACTTGGTGATTTTCTGCGTTATACGTCTCTTGTCACTTTAATGGAGTCAGTATGTACATTAATGAGAAAAAACGACATTAACCAAATTCGCCAGTTGAAAATGATTGTTACCACGCATTTCTTATTCATTTCATTCCCCTTCATCAACCAGGCGGGTATTTTAATTTAAGTGATAAAGATACATGAGGCAACTAAATTTCGTCAGTTCGAATTCTCAACAAAATACCGTATATTACGAGGATTCGTTGACAGAAATATGGGCATGGCAACATTTTCTGATGCGAATCGTAACGTGAGCCTTATTTCTCGAAAAACACCAGGTCAAGAGTACTAACAGTATTTCAATCGGTGAAATACGGTACTTTTAAATTCATAAACGAAGAATGACAATCTGTCCATTGGACCTTCTTTTATGAAACATGCTGTTCATCTTGCATGAACAGGTTTTAATTTGCTTAATTTCAAATGTATGCATCGCTCAGGGTCGTTATGGCGATTAGAAAACCCACCATAATTATTAATAAGGAGGTAGACCTTTACTCTTTCCCCGATGATTTTTCTGTATTCCATGAGTCAAGGCCCTGTTTCAATCAACGCCAATGGTGAAAATTCTGCTCGAATAGCCCATTACACGTTTTTACGAATTTCCAATCATACCAAGTGTCGAATAAAACTCAACTTTGATGTTAAAATTTAAGGCAGCACAGCACTTCCAACATACTCTTGGCAGTATTGTATATACACGTGATCACTTTTACTTCCAAAATAAACACTTGCGTCGTGAAGGTTTTCCAAGTAAAAGCCGATTGGCAACCTTGGGTCAGTTCTAACAACACCGTATCTCTTCCGGATTAAACTAAATCCGGACCCAGTGTCGCAAAACTGAGGCCTCGGGATCCACGCAGGGAAAGCTAGTGACTTCTTCTCAACTCGGGAATTCAAAGGTGGAGGAGAAAAAACCAGCCATTGGAAATATAAAACCCAAAGAGGGCCCTAATCAGCTCGGCTATTTATGTCCACGAAATGAAAGCGTTTTTCAAGATGCGCTTTCGGCAAGTGAGGAATGCGTGGATCATCGCTGAATTTACGACGCCCGCGAACTGCTTGGGATTTTCAAAAACGGGTCACCCCCCTCCCCGTCGAACAAATGGCAAGCAATGCGACTCGTATCACTGCTAGATATAATAAATTATAATAAATTTAAGAATTCCTTTCAACGAAAGAAATGCCGAACTCCGAAAAAGCTATGAAAATTTTTTTTTTTTATTACGCATGTTTCCTTCATTTCATGTTTACTAAAGAGCCGACCGACAGGAACATTTATTCCTTTGGTCTCATAATGTCATTCCTTTTTCTAGAACGTTCTGGTATTTTATTTCCTCTGTTTTCTGCGACGGTAAAAGTCAAGCCAATCAAGCAATGGCCTTGGAAAAGTTTCCCCGGGCAAAATTTTGATATACTGTACATCATAATTTTTGTCTGCTATGCAAATTTCCGTGCATTCCATTCGAAGGAACGGTTTCAATTTCCAAGTCTTCCAGCGAAAATTCGTTTTTAGTTCAACTTTTGAAAGGGAATTGCATTTTCAAAATCGTGAGAACCATTTGAGAAATGTATTCCTGATTTGAAATTTCGACATTTACTGAAGCAGTAAACGTCACATAGTAACAGCCCGTTTCAAGCTCCGAATACCTTCATTGAAAAATCACGAGAAAATGCGATGCTCTTCTCGACAAGGTAACATTTATGAAATATTTATCAATTAGTTGGTTATCATTCTAATTATGTGGGATAGTTGAAATATGTGCCAGGATTTTGAATTGGAGCTTTTCAGGTTCCCACATTTTTAGCAAAAATCCTTCCAACTATTGAGGGATCAATTTCATTCGTTGAGGATTTTTTTTTACAGCAGCATACCCGAAAAGGGAAAATGTTTACTGATCAACTGACATTAAGGACGACCTTGAAATCCAGCATCGATAGCAAAACAACCAAAAAAACAAAACACTTTTTTTTTATCAATCGGATCATGGTTACACCCTCATTTATAAGTATCTGGAAGTACAGTACTTGGAGTGAGTTTTCATCCATACATCATGCAAATTTGTCTAGTAAAGTCAATCCGCTAATGCCCATTTAACTCTGCCAATTTTCAGCGTCAGCTTAGGCTCGAATAGCTCTTTTCATTGCTCAGAAGAGGACTACAGCATAAACATTATTTCTATGGACATGCATCCAACGAACACCACACACTAAAAATCACGAAATTATTCTCGCAGATACTGCAAGGGGGGGGGGGGGTAATAATCCGAAACGAGAACAGAATGTCATTTCCACCCTATACGTAGATGCAATTAAAATGGTTCATTCATTCATGTTTCCGAAGATTAATTACGCGCAAATTCGCAAAAGCAAAGTCAATGCCGAACCGATTGTCACCAAGTCAAGACGAAGAAAACTGCTTGCTTCAAAGAAAAATCGAAAATCACTCAAATGACTCTCTGCAACGTCTGACAAAGCGTTTGAGATGAGAAGGAAGTAAAAAAAAAAGCAAGAAAAACCACCGTCGACGAATCCAAAATGATGGCAAGTCAGAAAATATAAACCGCTTCTCCTGCCTTCGAAAGGTTGCCCCGACTTCATTATGCAACCCTTGTCGTCACGGGGCACGAAGCATGACCGAACGGCATCCCGAGAAAACTGCCGCGTCGCATTAATCAGGATTTCGCTCTCCGTATTCCATTTCTGATGAAACACAGAATCACGCGGAAGAGAGACAACGATGACGAAGGAACCAAGCACAATTCCTTTGCTTTCCCACCAGGTGACTCCTTTTTTTCTTTCCTCCCGATTTTTGTAAGGCAACGAAGTCTTTCGAAAGACGTCAGGCATGCCGGGGCCGGCCGTTGCCCTGCCCCCGGCATTCGTGCCCATTTATAGCACAAATGAGCTCGATTTCCAGCAGTCTCATTCCCCTCTTGAAACTCTCGATCCTAGTCCCTGTGAGTGCATTCTTGCATTAAATACGAGAAACCTTTCCTGACTCGCCCAAATATTTACCTAGAACTGAAGCGAGATGGACGTCAATGCACGGGACTGGAGGCAACCCATCCCTTGAATTCGTGGGTCCTTAATGGATAGTAGATAAAAGAATCGGAACGTTGAGTGCTGACGTCTTTCCGTGGTAATAGCTTTTTTTTTATTGCACTCAAGTTACTATGAGGCAAGACAGTTTAAATAGTCAAGAACATTTTGCTCGTTGGGGATATAATTTAAATACGCCACAGCTTTCAAACCAAACAAAACTTTTCGTGGGAAAAAATCGGACTCACAAATATCTTTTTCGAAGAATCGCCCTGAAATTTCTTCCTGTCTCTTTCGAAGGAACTTTGGCCTCCGCAAGTAACTTTAATCCTTGAATAAGATTCAAGTCAAGACAAAAGTTACCGAATCGAGATTGAAGCTGACTATTAATTTACAAAAGTATTCAACGAATGTTCCTTTTTCAATATCGAATACATTTTTCAGACGCAAGAGCTGCAATCTGTAATTATGTATTAACCGCAAGAATTTCATGAAAATTACGCCAGCTCCATGAATATAACATAAATTGTCATATAATTGAAATTCAGGGATATATTTCGTGTGGACGAACTTTGAAACTTCCTCACACGACGTTCTTCACAGGAGGTTCTAACTTTGAATTACGGTATCCATTCAGCTGAACCGGCTACATTCGAATCTTGATATGTGCTAACTAAGCTAACAAAAACTCACTCTTTTTTTGCCTATTTGACACAACCTTTCTCTGACCGCTTTGTCTACTTAATGATGGTCCTTCTATAGCTTCCTTAGTCATTAATAAATAGGTTTATAATTCACGGCTTAGTGTCTATGGATAAAGCATGCATATTCCAGCACTGAAGAGAAGCCCTTGAAAAAAACCCACACCTTTCGCTCGCAGCAAACGATTTATATCAGGTAACAATCATCAAATCATCCCAGACGTATTCCAGTACCAATTGGCCACCGTTTGCGTCGGTCACTGTCACTATCGTAAACAGATTACCAGTCGTTGGAGGCACAATTTACTCCTCACCGCAGGATAATCTGTTTACACAGTTACCCTAAACCAGTCTGGATGAAATCTTATCACGCTGCGACGTTCATAGTCTCGGCTACATACTTTCCAGCAAAATAAATCCAGTTAAAAATGAAATCAGATTTGTATACGTATTTCTTTTTAGAAGATCATTACTTTCGGTTTCTTTTTAAGAAAAAAAAACATTTTGAAAGGTTCTACTCCTGCATAAGCTAAATTTCCCCGCTGAAACTGCAAACTTGTCGCAACCAGAGCTTACGAAATTATGTCCTGCGCTGAGTATTAGCGCACTTGTGCTTTTAGGAACAATACTTATTTAAAACGCTGTTCGGGTTCCAATTTTAATCAAGCTTCCTTTTCTGAATAGGTTCGTTGTTGCTTTTTTTGTGGTTTTATTGTTAGCTAAAATGCTTTCTAGTTCTAGAAGAGTAAGGCTCAAACACGAGGAAAGCGTGGGCAGCACTCGAAAAATCCGGAAGTGTTCTGCACTAGAACCCAATGACGACCTTCAATTGGGCTTCCTCGCTCAGACACGAATCCCCAACATGAAATACGTTTAATCGAAAAACAAATTTGCGCGGGAGTAAAAGGAAAATCTGAACTGTATAATAAATTGGGAAAAAAGTGATTTGCGTACAAGCAACGCCTCGGGGGTGGGTTTGTTGGGAAATCTCCAGCAGCCAAAAGGAGACGCCTATATGCGACATGCATCGAAAGCGTAAGGCAGAAGGCCAAAATATAGTGGTGCAAAGTATGCGCCAGTATGCTCCGCACACATTAAGCTTATGTGTGTGTCTTTAGGCTCCAAGGTGCTGGTTTAAATGCTGGCCTGTCATTTTCCCCCCTACACAGAACACATCCCAGGAAGCCGTGCCTCGGCTAGTGGATTAAGGATAACTCTCGCCGGTTTCCCACATCTCCCATCCACAGCGCCGAACCAGACGAAACAAGCGCCACGAAATCCGAACCCACATTTCTTCCCGTGCTGTCCCGTCTTGCATGGAATCCCCGCATTTCACGCATGATCTTGCGACACTCCGTAAAAAGGTGCCTCGGTTAAATAACTTGAACTGCTTCTACAAAATTTAAATTTTCCAGAAATGTATTGAAGGAGTTCTGTGGAATTACAGATAGAATAATTAGCTTAATATCCATTTAAAAAAATCAATCACTTGAATCTACACGTCGATTACCTCCGCTATAATGTTTGAATACGAAAATTTATGTGAGTATACATTCGATCAGATCTGTGGTGCAAGTAGGCTACATTATACGCCAGTACGCGTATAGATTTAATTAAATCTAATGCTCCTTCGCAATTTTTCGAAAACCCACAAAAACCGAATTAACATATCTTTTTATGAGTTTACCTTGGAATAGAAACACTTCTCCTGATTTTATGCAAAAATCTGCCTTCCTCGAATCATTCAGAATTTATGGGAAGCATGCAAAATTGGCTTACGAGGGAACTTTTACTAGAGAAGCATTTGCTAATTTTTTCGCTCATGTGGATTTTTACGGACGCATAATATTGAAGAAATGTGACGAATGCTTGGAAAGGATGAACTTGGCAAACTTTTAACTGTTCATAGCTGGACAGTTCCCGATTTCCTGCAAAATTCATTCCTAAATTCGAAAATTAAAAAATGAATGAATCACGTTAAACATAGAATATTACTGTACTGTACATGAAAACCATGTAGCAGAAAAATAATGTACTCAAAAACCTGGAAGAGCAAGCTCAAAGCAAGCAAAAAATCAAGCTTTAAAATGTATTCTATTGGGTGCGGGGGATAAATAGAGCTTGAACTTTAAGCTGAATTCTTCATGTTCCGATGAAAGGTCCATCGGTTATTATTCTGGGAGAAAAGCAATTCGTTCTTTCCTTCAAGAATACACGAAGATCAGTCTCCAATTTTTGGAGACTTCCAATGGGCAAAATATCCGGACAACCGGGAACGGGTTGATGTGCAGCTAATGGAGGCGATATTACAAACTTATGCTTTTAAATACACTCATATGTAAGCTAGTCTAGACACCACGTTCATCCGATGTAATATGCGGTCATGCGCATATCTAAATTAATTTAGATCAGTCTCGCATATCTAAATTAATTTAGATATGCTCCTTCGCAATTTTTCGAAGCCCCACAAAAACCGAATTAACATATTTTTTTATGAGCTTACCTTGGAATAGAAACACTTCTCCTGATTTTATGCAAAAATCTGCCTTCCTCGAATCATTCAGAATTTATGGGAAGCATGCAAAATTGGCTTACGAGGGAACTTTTACTAGAGAAGCATTTGCTCATTTTTTTCGCTCATGTGGATTTTTACGGACGCATAATATTGAAGAAATGTGACGAATACTTGGAAAGGATGAACTTGGTAACCTTTTAACTGTTTATAGCTGGACAGTTCCCGATTTCCTGCAAAGTTCATTCCTAAATTCAAAAATTAATAACTGAATGAATCACGTTAACCATAGAATATTACTGTACTGTACATGATAACCATGTAGCAGAAAAATAATGTACTCGAAAACCTGGAAGATCAAGCTCAAAGCAAGCGAAAAATCAAGCTTTAAAATGTATTCTCTTGGGCGCAGGGATAAATAGAGCTTGAACTTTAAGCTGAATTCTTCATGTTCCGAGGAAAGGTCCATCGGTTATTATTCTGGGAGAAAAGCAATTCGTTCTTTCCTTCAAGAATACACGAAGATCAGTCTCCAATTTTTGGAGACTTCCAATGGGCAAAATATCCGGACAACCGGGAACGGGTGGTAGTGCGTCACGCAAAAACCCAGGTTCTGTAACTCAAATTAGGCACACACATTGACATTTCAAAATAATTGTTCGTTCAATTTCATCGACAGAGTCAAAATGTCAAAGTGTGAAAATAAATTTCGATTACCCGTGCCGTTATTTCGATCAAATTCCTCTCATGATAATTGCATCGCTCGTTAACCGAGAATTCCCAGCAGTATTTCCATCGCTTTCTCGATCATCGGAATTGAATATGCATTTAAAAATTTCAAGGCCACCGCGAAGCACAAAAGAGCATAAAAATGAGATGTGATCGGCAAAAATCCGACCGTATCAATAGATATTCAAATAACCGTTTTTGAATAATCGCTGTCACGAATGATCGAAGGACTGCAATCAAATTTCCTCGGTTATAAATTTATGGCACATTTTCTTTCCCTTCCAGAGGATACTTCAAAAAACCACCGACAAACTGCACCATCACGCGTTACGGGAGTAAATTTTAAACCACTAATACTTTTGGGTAGGGGTTATTTCGAGCATCCTATTAAATTTCCAATCCAGGAAAGCAAGAGGACAACGTTCATAAAATTATAAAGCAGCGGTTGAGGGGTCTTCAACATTTTTATGCAAACACGTCGAATGATCGTCGGACAGCCACTCCATTTGGTAAAACTAATTTTGTGATCCTGCGGTTAGGGTCTCATCGACTCACGGCCAAGGATAAAATATGCAGGTAGGCAATACTTCGGGAAACTACAGGATGCAAAAGTTTCGTAAATTCAGTTCACGAACAATATTGAATGCATCATCTGATCTGTTCATGATCAAGAAAAGATCACATGCTTCACCGCGCAATAACTCCTCGGAAGACACATACAGTTCATGGATGCATGAATAAATCAGAAACGACGGTATTCACTCACCTAACGGGCGACCGCGATCGCGGCGTCATCTCAGCGGCGGACGGGGAAACTCCAGGAGTGTTTTCTCCGCCATCCGCAGCGTCCACTTGTCGCTGCTGCTCGACGCAGCCCAAGCTGTCCAGATTGGCATAGTCCGAATAGTTGGTCTCGTAGCCCGAGTCCTTTGTCAGTTTCCGAAAACTACGCCGCTCTTTGGCGTCCTTCCGCGACGCGGACGCCATGGCGGCCAGCGTGAGTTTCCCCAAGTTCTCGTACACTACCACGTCCGGTGGCGGCTGCGTGTCGACACAGTCGTCATTGGCGGCGACATGCCCGCGACCACAGTCGTTCTTGTCGTCCAGAGACAAGCGTCGATTCTTGTCGCTGAAACTTTGGCTCCGGTCGGCGGAACTCGGCGCAGATGTCGCGGGTTTCGCACTGGGCTGTCCCCCAGCGGACGTGTGCAGCTCGCGTTCGGAAGCCCAGGCTTTCCGCTTCGCCTTCAGGCCTTTGCCTTCGCTGTGGTACACCTGGTTGTTTCTGTCCAGCGGTGTCGCGACTGGCGGTTTCTCCGAATTCCTGCAGAATTAATAAAAAATGATAATAAAAATAACAGCGTAATAAATACAGCTTAAAAATGAAAGAAATGCGGTCATAACACTTGTACCGTGGATTAATTCCAAAATTATTTTCAAGAATCCGTCGACGACAAAAAGGCTGAAATCAACTTGAAGAAAATTCGTATGCAAAAAAGTTTTGAAATGTAGTTCAACACCTCCAAGTCGTACTTCCCAACCTCGAAAGTCTACCGATTTCAAATTCCCAGCCCCGGCCAATACAATTGAGACCAATTCATATTGAACCTTCTAAATTCAAAAATGTTTGGCTTTAACCTCCTTTAGTCGAATTTTCGTTGCTCTTGTGATATTGTCAAATTTTTATAACACATGATCCAGGATATATGAAATTTTTATTTTAATGCTATCCACAAAAGATTTGACGATTTCCTGGGCATAGAAGAATCGAAAATCAAAGAATGCTAAAACTACAGTATTTGAATCATTCTGCAAGACAATCCTTTAAATTGATTGAAGGATTGTCTATACAACTCCGGCCATATTATTAAACTAGAAACTCCACAAGTCGAATTTTTTGGTTTCCCTTCAAAGTCGGCTTCAAGAAGTTCAGCTAAGACACGTTGTGAATAATTCTTAATCACAATATCAACTGCAGAATGGCTCAACATCCAACAAAATATTTCCTACATCTCTGAAATAGTGTCATGTATTAAAAATGTACAAGTGATTAATAAATTAACGTAAGTAAATTTAGGCAAAGTGATCAAAAACGAAATCGTTCCACAATCTGATCTAACAGACTTCTTAATCCGTTCATTCTCAACAATTATTCTTCGATTTTGAAAGAACTGGAAAAAACGTCGTAACCTTTGATGAGCTCAGCTTGGAAAATGAACACTGTAAGTTTTCAACAAGTTTTCTCTCTCAAACTTTTTAGAGAGCGGTGGAGTTCGACAATTAAAATCGGATACATGTTGATGAAGACTTCAGAAGTTACGAAAACAAGGCATATTTCTTCGTATTCGGGATGACATCTTGTGCAGCTTTGGACAGAGTTAGACCTTTTCAGAATATACGTCGATGAGTACGGTGCAAATATCACGTGCATTGTCGCTTTAAACTTCTTCAGAGAAACAGCCGGTTTGCACTCACTGTACTGTACAAGATAAACTTGAACATTTTCAAAAGAAAAATGTTGAAGTGAAGAACAGTGCTCAACGGTATTCGAAAGCGCAGAAATAAAATTTGATTTTTTCTGTGCACATTTCCGTTACATTTTTCGCTTCTGCGCGCATTTATTTCTTCTGCGCATAAGTCGAATTGGAGTGCCGTTTTCTAGCGGCATCTAATCACAAGGTCGGCAACATGTTACGATATCGAGGAATTTCTATCTTGCCTGCCACAAAATCGATACTTTTCATCAGAAAGGTTGATTGATGGTGATTGGTTATTAGTTTAATTCATCCAATTTTCTGCAAGAATATCCCAACTCATGATTATGAACGACCAGTTGAAATTCCACTCGTTTCAATTTTTACACTCATTTCGGCTGTCCAAAAGACATCGCAAATCTCTAAAAGGTGGAATTTTGTTCCGCGCGCCATTTCAGAACGGAAAACGAGCGAAAATTTTAGAAAAAATATCAGGTAATTCGAAGTGTACTTTTCTCAGTGCCACATGTGATTTCAAAAGTTAGCTTTGAACAAAAACATTGATCAGTAGATACTGAACACATTTGCAATACTGTAGCCAACTGAAAAAGAGCGTCATCTGACACCAACAGTTTCTTGAAAATTACACTTACTGATTGGACGATCTTGAATATTTATCTTTCAACTAGCCAAACAACAATTTTGTCTAAAATTATAAGTAACGGTGTTCCATGAGTGCATCTTGACACGCAGCTGGAAAACGAATTGAGCACGATTTTCCAAGAAAAGTAAGCTCAAACGAATAATTTAAAAAATGTAATCTTTTTCATGCATGCCTACATTATCAAGAAAAATTCACACTGCAGAAATTCTTCATTCTGGCCACTACCAGAATATTCAATATTCGTTATCCACTCCGCCAACAAACGGCACACATAGTTTTGATGAATTTTCGGCACCGCAAAACTTAGTCCCATCAGTCTAAATGTTCGAGAAATAATCAAGGCTGCACGGAAATAGGACAAACCCGGTCTTTGATTCAACGTGAACAATCACGTGTCTAAATATCAGTTGCCATCTATACTTCGTCTGTTCAGAGAGAAAATCGGATAACTGTTAACTCGTTCCAAATGCAGAATCGCTTGCACAGAAAGACAGAGGACCAAGTACTCGTGAAAAATGAGCTGATTGGCATGATCAACCATCGAGAAAGGATTTTTTTAAATAGTGGGAAATCTGCATTACAAAAAAATTGCCGTAATTACCCGTTCCCGGAAACTTCGGCCCAGCCTAAATGTCCTGGGCGGAGCGAGCGCAAAATCCTGTGTTTTGCAGCTTGCAATCGTGACGACGATTCGCGGCGTTCCAATTGAGTGTTGTGCAAATGAGGTGACGAAACACTGTGGCTCTCAGGGTCAGCAGATCTGGAAAAACACGAGAACAAAAACGAACGAACGTCAAAACAAGGTGAAAACAAAACCCTACTCGATTCACAGAGATACGAAGAATGAACAGAGTGATTCATCCACTCCTTGCAATACAACGAACCAGGAAACGAAATGTGAGAGAACACACAGACTTGGACACGTCACGCTTCATCATAATTACTTAACGCAATAAACTCGCCGTTTGAATGGAAGAGTTCCCCGGGTGACTCGTGTAAACAAAAATAAAATATGAAGGAAAGAAAGGCTCTCTTGAGGAGGAATAAAATTAAATGAAATAAAAAGGACTTTTCTTGGGGATGGATCAGTAATGCTTGCTTCACGGATAGCCGAAGAGAAATGTTCACAGACGCAAGCACCTCGCGATTTTCTTTCATGAAGACCAAGAACCAGAAAATCTTTCGTATTCATGACCGAGAACCCACTAAAATCGAAATAAAAATGGTACCGTTATAATAGGTGACCTACCCAAAAAATTGAAAATGGTTTAAATAAACTGGTAATATTTAAGTTGGAGTGAAACATAATTACGGTATTCCCAACCAACATTATGACAGATAATCAATAACATTGAACCCCTTCGGGCTTGTAACACTGATGATATATTTTTTGTTGCCACTTGTAAGCCATTTTTCATGAATTTCCTTGCATCACATCAGTTAAAAATTAAGCTTGATAAGTATAAACGTCAAACTGAGCTTTAGACATTGAGGCTGTGAAAAACGTATCTATGGGCTAATTCAACAAGGTTGATTTTGCTATTATTAGTAAATTCATGTTCGGTCCGGTTACGTTTCACACGCCGTTTTCATTCGAGCATGACTGGGTAGAACAAAGGAGGATTTCTGTACCCCATTTGGAAATGTCCAAGCATTAAAATGATATTATGAAATCAGGCTGGTCGCACCTTTTCTGGTCGCACTTATATTACCATACCACAGCTGAATATAAGTGATCTCGGTTGACCAAATACTATACCAGTACCACAACAAGAAAACGTCATGAATCGTCCGGAAGACCGTGCTGCTTCCGCCTAAGGTTTTTTTTTTTTTCATGCGATCATGCCGACAGGTGGCCAACGAGCGATTTAGCATGGATCAATCAAACTATCGACAAAAGCCGCCACTTTCGGCTTCCGCGGCGGCAAAAATAAAATGCCGCCTCGTGACAAACCACGAGTACTTGACTCCCAGTGGAACACGGATGAGCCCTTTTGTGAACTCGGACACGAATCCCTTTGTTGAAAAACTCAAAACAAATACAAGAAACACTTTCACCAGATCCAAGAACACTGTTCTTGAAGAAAAGAGGACTCGAAACAGAATCTCGAACAAGTCGACGGTGTATTTAAAAACAGTTTTCGAAACGGGCGCATTTTTCTGCAACGAGATGAAGCAACTTTTTTTTATGTGAACCGTCCCCTTTTAAAATACTCAGTTGATTCTCAATTATAAAAGCTAATAAAGCAGGAAAATAAAAATTAAATCTCAAGGATGAATATTATGCAATTTTAACCTGATATGATACAGTATTAGCAACTTGAAGTACAGTACCCAGAATTTCGAAGACTGCATACTGTATTTTATTTTACTTTCTCTTCCTAACTTCACGTAACAGTATCTTCGCGTCAAAGCTATAATCAACACGTAATTTTTTTCCTTTGAAGATTCCAACGAGAAATTATAAGACATTCTCAATACATGTATCGCAGAATCGAACAACATATGCAAAAAAATCGATTTCGTGGGTCTCACTCGTTCACACAGGAATGAACAGGAACGGGGTTAAAAAAGGAGGCAGTGATACGTAAATTCGGAAAAAAATCCAAAGTCATTGCCGTAGAACATTATTTCCTTTTGCCGCAATACAGCATTTTCTTTCGTGAATATGATTTCACTCAAGACTAGACAATTCCAACAAAAACATTTTTGGTTGAAAATACAGAGTGAAAAAAGTACTTCCATCTCTCATCCAAAAATGTCTTCCCCTCCACCCATCTGGATTTCTAATTCATGGTTTTCATCAACTGGTGATAGAAACGGATCGACGAACAAAAGATAAAATATGCACCGGTACATAATCATGATACACGGGTGAAGAAAAAAGTTCGATTTCTCGGGAAAAGATTGCCTCCACACGCATCAGCAGTGCAATAACTGCGTCGGAATGAGCACGGCTTTTCTTCACTCAGATCACGTGCGAATCAGTTATTTTTCGATTCTATTGAAAATATGTTTTTTAATCACTATCTTCAGGGAATCCAGCAAGCACTAAAGAAGTCTGAATATTTCGAGGAACCTTCAGTAATGGTAATCACTAAATTTCGCATCTTTTATGGATTTAAAAGCTGACAATCATTTTAAATGAAATAGTACTGTATAAATATGCAAAATCTTCTCTACAACAAAGTTATCAATAGAAAAATCATGTTTCCAATTTTCTTTTTAAGTTTCGAATTCTTCAATTTTAGACGTTGAATGTGAAGATTGTCATTGAAATTGTAATTACGGAGCAAACAGTCCAGCGGGTGCAATTGCAAAATTTCTTAGAAAAAGAATATAGACTTGCCTCACACTTATTTTTATTTTTTTCAATCCAAAAATGGTTTGAGGATACTGACTGAGAAACTTGCATACAAAAATAGTTTCACTGTCGTGAATCATAAGAACGGTGCATAAGAACGGTCATAAGAAGGTGCAAGAAAAGGGCATCTTTGTTTTTCAAAAAAGGACTGTACAGAATTTTCAAAGAGAAAATCATCATAGACGGAGAAGGAAAAGTAAGCATCAATACCATCAGCAGCAGTCACGGTAAATTCGCATGCAAAATCCTGATTTTTAAATTATTAGAAAAAACAACGAAACGTTCATTCATCACTCGCAAGAAAAGGAAAAAAAAATTGGCAAGGTCGTGGACCAAATGCTTGTTTTCGCGCATATGGATGAGACCCTGAAACCCGCGCACCTCGCCACGGAAACCACCCAAAAAGCAAACGAGCCACTCCTACGAACCCCTTTATTCCTCCCGTTTCCTCCCAAGTTCTCGTGGCAACAACAACGCACACAATAGAATAAACCCCCTGTGTATGATAGATATAATTTAGAAAAAAAGAAGAAACCCTCTTCTAACATGACACCTGGTGCACGCGATCGCAAACCGCGATCAGCAAGGTGTAGCGTAAAGCATACCATACACGTGCTGGTCATTGACACCAGGGTGTCATGAACGTGTGCGTCTTGGCGTTCGCCCCTATGGAAACCATATGCGAATGCGTCCAAAATGAAAATAAAAACTCTTCAAAGAAAACTAGAATATACATGTTTAAACGCATTAAAACGGTAAACATACATAGAAACATTGACTAGGCAGGGGAAAGTGATCTCACACAATTCATAATTTAACCCAGTGTGAAGATACAATTTTAGGGATACTTTTCTTTCTAGTTCATCACTTACAACCAAGTCCGAAAATTTCACTTCGACTTGGTTAAACTATTTTCAAGGTTGATTACTTGAAACAGTCTCCCTTACTACAGTGCTACACAAGGAACTCCGTAAAATCATTTCACAATGCTGAATCATTTTGAATAATGCTTGAACAAAAATTATATCCATAATTTCCTTACGATTATTAAAATTTCGGGACGCATACACCCCGTGATGATTTACTGCACTTCAAAACCAGGGCACACAGTGATTTTCACGCTAATAAAATCAACAACTCGCAAAAAATACAACACAGCAGTACAGTACACTATTAGCTTACTAAAAGGGACAATACAATTCAGTTAACTCTTTTTGCATAATAATCCGTCACTTCTCGCGAAAGCTTTCAAAAAATCGTCATATAAAACAAATTTTATTTCGGATATAATTTTGGCACAGAAGATGTCCTCAGTTTTTCCTAAAAGCGTAAACTCTCAGCTGTAGAAATTAATTCTGTACATCGCCATAAAACAGTCCCGTTTCGGGCCATGTAAATTCATTACGGTGTACGTCGAAAATGGCAGCCGGGAATGCGTTTCAATTTCTGCTTCAAAAAATGCAATTCGGAATGCCTTCCAAGAAAATTTGGCGTCATCAGCGGAAAATAAACAGTACTGTACGGATTTTTTTTTAACAAGGCGTGGCACGATAAAAGGTGGGAAATGCAGGAAAAACAACCGATCGCAGAGGGGGGAAACTGAGACAACACAAAAGAAAAGAGAAACAACATCCAAATTGGCGGTGCCCGACGTCGAGAAAACAGAGCGACGAGGATCGAGGGCTCCCAAGACCCAGACTGTCGTCATTCGACAACGTCGCAATGGATCTGTCGCACGGCACCGCGGGGCGCCATTCGCCTCGTCCTTTTTTCCTTATTTTTTTGTGCTCCCTCCTTGGAGAACGACGACTGACAAACATTCAAATGCTTCTTTTTCTTACATTCTTCCCCTCTTACGACATTGATTCACTGCGTCGATAACTTCGAGACACACCAAATAAACGCGATAAACACCGGAGAGAATTTTCAACAGGGGGCATGAAGCTTCAACAAGCATTTGACTATGTAAAAGCTACTCGGATGGATGCTGCATTCACGTCTTTTTTCTTTGAAATAAGAGCATTGATCGAGATATTTACATATTGTACTGTACAGACAGGAATAACGATAATTTGAAACCTTTACAGGTACTCAGATCCTACAGAATTGGAGAAGGTGAGAAAATCCAATGTGGCGATAATAATGCGAAAAAAGTGCCTTCAGAGAAAGGTTCCAAACACGAATTTTACCTTGGAATTCCCTTCTTTATTGCCAGCTAATTTCATTACCACTTTGATTATTGTGATATCCATAAAATTACAATTTCCATGACATTGCACCAATCACTTCATGCTCCAAGCGTGTAATAGCCGCATTTCTGATACCAATACAGCTTTTTCCCACTCAAGTAACAGCCCAAAATCAAGGTGCGGCCCATCATTGCACATACAGAGTAATTTTCCCAATTCAAGGAAAATAAACACGACACATGAAAGATACATAAATTTCGTGGGTGAATTGCGGCTCGTGTTCAATGAACGACGCAATCACCGAATAAAAGAAATCCACCCGAATTTCGCCGCGAAGGACTCATCTATTCAACTTGAAACAGCCTCGCGAACGGCAAACCACGTCTCATTTTAGAATTGAAAAATTAAAAAAGGCTTTTAATACGACCATTTGCAAACTTGTTCAAAATCAAGTTTGTAGTTGTAATTCCACGGGATTATTGCTGTGAACGCGAATGCGAGATACGAAATCGACAGAAGGAATGCCTGCGAGGGACATTTTTTTTACGACCACAATTGCTCACAAAATGGCTTTTCAGCACGTTCTTTTAAATTTATTTTTCGGTTTTCCCAGTTCCTTGTGCACAGCACCCACATCGCGCGATGCAAATTTGAAGTGGAAAATTTCTTTCCTTTCCTTTCACGGACGTGCACTTGAGGGGCGAAGCTTTGATTCACCTCCGCCGAGAAAGAAGTGAAGGCCGACGCTTAAACTTGACCGCGACGAATCGTCGGTATCAAGAAGAGAATCTCGAAGAATGTGAACTTTCATGAGCAAATGTCGCACAAAATTCCGAGGATATCTTATGTCATGAGCAGGGGCTGCGAATTCCGCCACTTTCGCTCAGGAACAATGTCGACTGCAAAAAAGGAAATGTACGTGCCTTATGGCGCACGCGAGACGAACAGATTCTCGAGGTTTATGGGTCAAGTGCACAAAAATTTGTCGCAACAAGCAGCTTATAGAAATATTTTATTGAAGAGACAAAATTCTTCCAGGAGAAAAAGTGACGTTTCGTTCCTCCTCCTCCGATCGGAAGAAAAAAAAAAAGAAATGCAGATTTTTCTTTTTGTGCTTTCTCTTCGCATTTGCCGACAAATTGAAAGATTTGTTGCTAAAGAACACTTTGTCCCAATAAGTAGCAGGTCCGACTTTTGTCGCTTCAACAGGCTAATAAATTGCGACAGCACGTGCAGAGTTTTCATTTGTCCGTTTTTTTTTTCAATTTGTGATACTGCACTTTATTTAGCCTGCTTCGAGTCCATTGAGAATGCAAAAATCGATTGTTCTTCAGTTTCAAAATTCAAGGGACTGTTAAAAAACAAACCAAAGCATCATTCTCTTGTCTCATACTTCTTCTGAAATATTTCAACATCAAAATTCTTCGACTCAAATTTCTTCAAGATTTTTTTCTATTTCGGAGTTCCGATATTTAAATACAGAAAACTCCTGTATGAAAACAAACCTAAAATGATTTTGACGCAAGGGCTGTTTTCAATGCGTTTGCCATAATATGATCAACAGTAGAAACACCGATCAATCATTCACCGAAAAATTAATTTGAGCACGTTGAAAATAATTTCTCTCATGTAAAAAAGCTAAATGGTCAGCAAAACTTCAACGACAGACAAGGTAAATTTTAACTCATCCTACATGTGATGAATCCATTACTGAACGAAGTCATTTCGCTATTCGTTCAATAACACGCAGTTCCCCAGCTATCTGAATGTAAAGAATGAGAACAAAATCGTGAACCGAAAGTATATTTAGCAACTTGTCTCGCGAGATCAGATTAAGAAAGAACGAACGCGTGAAAGATATCTAGTTCAAAGAGGGCAACTCAATAAATAAATTACACTGCAAACAGTATATTTGTCTCGTTTGCGGCGGCGAAAGTTTCACAAGCGCCTTTTAAAACCTACCGATCATTACTATCTACTTAATTAGTTTCAGCCTACGCGTTACAAACTCTTATCGCGGATCGCAGCTTTTATGAGAACATGCAAAACTTCACAACAACAGCACCGAAAAAAAAAAGAAACGGACAAAATGACAAACGAAGATAATGGCATCACGCGGCGATCGACACAAACTCAAGCAAGTTTGCCTTTTTTCTTCACGCACGAAATTTGATTGCACTTTCCCCGATAATAAAAAAAATTAAATCCTCGATAATTTAGTTCGACACGTTTCACGTGAGTGTCTCTTTTAAAATTGTCATACTCGTCAAGTCGGATTTAAAGTGGATCTACATAATCAAGAATCATTCGATCTGAAACATCCAAATCCAGCACAATCGGGCATTTCAGCGCAGCTGGATCTTTGTGATACAGTACGCAGCAATTAATTTGAAATATGGATATTTTTTTTCTTTTTCGGGAACATAAATTCCATTCAATGACAAAAAATATAATAATAAAAATAACGGGCCAAGTATGTCGCTGAAGATGCGAAGAACAAGCAAGAGATTTCTTAGAACCCAGCCCAGAGGAAAACATAACACATGACACACGAAATGCGTAAGAATCCGACCCACACCATCACCTGTCACCCGTGCGGATCACTGGATCGCGTTCCTTCGCGATCCCAAGTCGTCCGGAAAATCGCCATGACAATACAACAAAAGACGACGATGAATTTTCCCTCGACGGGCTCTGATTCGAACAAAATCTCGACACGGAAAAAGATCGTGTGATGCTGAGCTTGCACAACCCGCAAGCAGCAAGAAGAAGAAGAGCTCTCGCGTCTGCTTGCATCCGTGACAAATTGGCCGACCACCACGCGCGCTTTGGTGCTTCCGAGTCCTCGTGACTGAGCTCTTTGATTAGAATCAATTATTCCAGAAGACAAAACCGCCCAGTCTGATTCCCTTTTTTTTATTTGGTGTGTGTTCTTATGTCTCAATCGAGAAAAGTCACAGAAGATGAGCAATGCAGTCGCCCGCATCAACATGAATGAGAAATTTACGCCGGTTTTTTTTTCTTTCTTCGAGACTGGATCATCAACGAAGTTTTTTCGTCACTTTTACTTTGACAACTACAGAAGCTGGCGCTCATTTCAGCCTGTTTCCACACCCTTGCATAACAAATAATCATGAAATAAAAATGAATTACGGTATTCGGGTGGAAAGGTGATATAATTTTGACTCATTTAAATTCATGGTGCGTCTTATAATCGATTATGTCTTACGATCGCATGCAGATTGCTACTAGATCACAATATTCACTTCAGTACCACAGCCACCTTATCCACAAGAATGGAACAAGAAAAAAAAACAGGTGCGTTTCGTATTTCAATGCAAGTCAATTCCTGAGACAATTATTTCGCGGATTTCATCGCAAGAATTAGGGATTCCCCTTCACACAGAGACTTGTAAAAACAGAGCATTTGCTTCCATAAAAATAAAAGAAACTACAGCGCATGAAACCTACTGCTTGAATATATTCAAGAACTTGAGCCCAAGTTTAGTGTGTGTTCAGAGTTAAACGTGAACGTTAAAAATCTGAAATAAAATTTAAAAAAAATTACGCCTCTCTGTTCAAGTATTTTCTAGTGACAATCGATTTGAAACATGAACTTCATTTGAACGAAAATTGAAAGATACAGTATTTGTCTTTTTTTTTAATACTTATTCGATGAGATATTGTCGTGCACAGGTTGGAGTAATTTTTGGTCAACCATGCAAAAATGCCGTAGATCTCGGAGCATTTCTCGGGGCGCGTTTAATTGCTCGTTAGATTTTCAACAACAAAAAGTCAAGCTCAGGATTAAAGACGTAATTGCACTCTTGAAGAATGAAAATAAAACAGTTATTAAACTGCTCCCTATATTCACGTAATCACCATAATTGCAACGAACTAAACTTAGCCCACTCAAAGAATTTCTTCAGCCAAAGGCGAGAAACCGACCTCCTCAAAAACCCAAAAACACAATCCGACTTGATCCCAGCAAATTATATCCACAAATCCAGCTCAATTAATATAATAAGCTTCATCTGACACAAAAATCTAGCATCCAAACCAAACCGAAGCGTCCGAAAAAAATTAAAAATTGACCAGTCTAATCAAACCGCCTTCAGAACAATACGAGATCCAAATCCGAACACTTGATCTATTCAATCTTCCAGCTCGGAGTATTCGTGGACAGCTGGCAGTAAATGAAGGCAGGAGCATCCGATCAATTCGACCGAAGCCATGATTAGTAAGAAGAATTTAACAATGCTTAGAAACAACAAAAAAGTATTAGAAACATTGGACAGCTGCGAGTTCCGAACAAGGCTGGAAGATGCGCAGCGTGCGACACGGAGAACATTTGACGGAAAAATTCCATCTGTCTCGGAGCTTCCTCCATTTTACTCGCATTCCACGAATTTTCTATCCTCGACGCATTCTTGTCATGTGGACATGACTTCGCAAAAGGAAAGCCAATCTCAAAATGCTATCAAACTCGGCTGAATCCCGAAAGTGTTCTCGATTCTTCCTGGTAAAAATTCAAGCATTCCGCAGAAAAAAATGTCACAATCCCGGCAAAAGACACACTGCCCTCGTAAACAAAATATGCAGAAGATCAAGCGATGCGTCGGAAAAGATGGAAAAAATACCGACTTGCCGAATTCCAGCCATTTCCCTTTGAATCGCCCACTCCATAGAAATAAATTACATTTTTCAAACTGATAAGAGTACATGACCAAACAAATTTCATCTGCCCGACCTTAGCGGCTTTGATCTTCATTGCCGGGGAATAACAGTTGCTTGTGCAAGCAGCACGGGAAAAGTAAGAAATAATATGAACTATATATTTGTGTATACCTCGAGCTGAAAAGGTGTTCAATCAGGCCCAGTTGCACATTTAAAACCTTTTTTTGTTCCTTTGTCTGGTCACTGGAAAACCTTGAAATGGTCGATCAGGATACTAAAAACCGAGGTGCGGTCAAATGGGTCATGCCTTCCCCTTTTTTTTATCGGTCAGGTGATACCACGAATTATCAGATTGGAAGCGTGATGAAGTGCCGGCGTGGCAATTACAATCGTCATCCACCTCAAGGCGAATAGAAGGCCCATTCTGAATAAATCGCTATTTTTAACTTTATTGCGGTCACCCTCCGAAATGGTTCCAAGAAAATGTTCAGCAAACAAGAAGAGGGCGTTCGTTTTTCACAAGCGCAGTACACCAAGTACTGTACTCCGGGATGACTCGGATCAAATGAGCCGCGGGATCCGTCGATGGGGAAAGCAATTCCAGCGACGATTCCCTGAAGGTCGTTTTCACTAGAAGCTGTTCACAAGTCGGAAATCAAACTTACTCGTCATCCTGGATGAGAACGAGAACCGCAGTGAACGCGCCAGATGTTCTTTTACTGGCTTCATTATCGACAACACTGCCCCGGAACACAGAGTCGACATCGCTCATGTCGACGAATCGACGGATCCGATTGAGACACGGCGCACAAACACTCCGCACTGTCACACAACACTTGAACGACTCATCAGCCGGTCAACAAATGCGCGTCTCTCGAGTTTTCTTCATAACGGATCCGTCACTCGCAAAACGAACGGGATAAGAAATCTCATCGCGCAAATTCACCGATTCTGAAAGTCTGCACTTGAAACACGCAAACAAAAATATTTACAAAAAATTGCATTCGCAATGAAATTTTACAACCTATATTCATAAGAGTACAACGCGAGCTGCAAAACGCAAAGAATACGGGATTTGGGATGCCGTAAAAACAGCAATGCATTCTAAAACGACGGGATTTTTTTCCGGAATATCTTTCAGCTGTTATAACAAAGCTCGACTGCGAAAAATGCGCAGTTTTCTTGGGGACAAAGCTCATCGGAAACAGCTGACACAGTTTTCAATTTGGCTCGTTGTCAGTATTCTCGATACAATCACGACAAATTTTAGTCGCAGTGGAAAATAAAAGTTTTCTTTCTAAAAAAAAAACGTACATCATCCTTATAGGTTACAGTATTTGGTTTTACCATTTTAGTAGCTATTCCTTTTCATTCTCAATTTTATGAGAGAGAGCCCCACGTACGGAGATCAACACAAAACACCTTCACTTTTCGAAGAATTTCGACCAAGGGAAAATCCCCGATACTAAAGACCTACATTTTCGTCACTCATTCCCGAAACTTCGCCGAAAATCGAAATCTCACGTCAATGGCGTGCTTTTTCTTGCACTTGCACACGCGCGAAACCTTCGAAAGTTTCGCTTTTTTTTCTTCTTTTTTTTTAAACCCAGGGTACTCCTCAAGGTTTTCGAGCCAACCCGTACCGTATTCGCGCCAGCTCCATCGGGTTTTGGCGAGGGAACCCAAACTTTCCGCAGAGCAAAGTTGGGGGAAACGGAGGAGAGAGAGATTGTGGGAGAGAGTCGCGGAGCGGTGGGATACAGTTGAACAATGCATGTGTCCGAAGGGGGCAACCCGACGACTCTGGGCCAAAAGCGTACTTTTGAACATCTGTTTCTTCTTGATTCGCTTGACCCACGGATACGAAAGAAAAAAAAAATAAGAGGAAAGGGGTTCTGCTTGGATGTATGTTCTTCGGCCTGGGACATGCCTGCATGTCTTCGCGTCAGCAACTTGGAAGAATTGCCCAAGAAATCTGCAGGAAGTTCTACACTCATAGGCCCGAACTTGACAGAATACTGTAGTTTTATAGATTTTATGCGCTTACGGAACAAGATGAATCAATAGTGAAACAACGTAGGAAGCCAGATACCATTGCTTTCTTTTCTACCGTACGTAATTTCATGATTTTTGAACAATCAAGGTACAGTACAGGGTTTTCCAGGATAAAATATAATTAGTTAACGGCAAAAAAACAGGAAATTCACATTCTGCTCCACAAAAAAGTACAGTACAATTAGATCCGTTGCACTGCTTAAAAACTGACGAAGAAATGAACAAAAATTCAGAGTTTGACCTGTCAACAGAAAAAAAAAGAAACAATTCTAAATGAGTTAAATGATAATACGGAATGTTAATTTAAATGTTTTAGCCCAAAAAATACAGATGGACAAAATTCAAAGGACCAGAGAAAATCGTCATAAGAGATAATTTAGTTGTAAAGAACCCCACATGGAAAGTGAACCCTGAGGGACCAATTTTTTTTTTCGCAGAGAAAATCGTTGAAGAAAAGATAGTTGTAGAGAGGGGAGAGTCCACGTTTATTCATCTGCAAGACGTAGGCTTGGTCAAATGGGCGTTTTCGCAGAAATTTATAAAATTGGTTCTAAAAATCGAGTATGTCCACTGTAGCAAAGTAAACTCCCATCTTTTGAAGGGCAGGGCTGAAGGTTGAACGTCCTACGAAGCTTGCAATACTCTGTGTCCTCGCATCAGCCAGGCGAGAACAAAGCATTTTAAACCTCGCTGGCGGAGAAAACGGTTGTGCGGAATGACCCCGGGAGAATGTCCTTCCAGTGGTCTTCATACAACTGAACGTTCTGCGAGAGTTTTGATTTTTCGAATATTTCGGCAATATGATGGGAAATAAGAATGTAAAAAAATTGAAAACGACTACTGTACCGCGGCTTTTTTATATTGGGTCATTTCAGTAATTCTCCGAACTTATGCGAAGCGTTTTTACCGTTTGGAGGCACTGTACAGTACTGTACTTGTTTTTTTTTATAAGCTACTGTATTTCTCATTTGATAGTTTCAGTGGGTTTATCAAAGTTTATATCATATTCTTTCATTGAACCCATCATAGGTTACTCATGACGAGGTATTCAGGCAATCAGAGACTATAAAATATCCGGACTTCACGTGGCGACCTTCGAGCCTTAAATGAAACATCTTAAATCATGTTCACTTTCTATAACTTTCGGCCCTGTTTCAATCAACAAAAAATCATTCATGGGAAATAATTATCGCAGAATTGCTTCAAGATAGATAATTTTATATCAATCTTGTACAGAATTACCCCGAAAATCGGTAGTTTCAAGATTGATATTTTTGCGCAACGTAAGTTCATACAAGGCTCGTATCGTCAAGTTCCAGAGAAAACGTGCATTTAAATATAGGTTGACTCTCTCTCTCACTCTCTACAAGGAAATTCAAAGGACCAGAAAACAATTTTATGTAGAGAGAATTTTTTTTGGAGAGAACCCTTATAGCGTGGAGAGAGAACCCAAAGGGACACACACAAAAAAACGTTACACAGAGAAAATCGTTGTATTTAGCGTATTACACGATCGTTGCTGACAGTCCACCTGATACACCGACCACGGTTTCAAGGCGGAGTTTATATTAAATGTTTTAGGCTTTTCCAAAAGGGTTAAACACGAAGTAGTATAAGTTTCTTAAAACTGTGGAGAACACTAAATCATTCTTTCAGGGAAACACGTTTCTTTTGACCACGACTCGATCCGTTCAAAAGCTAGCGTAAAACCCGCACGCTTCAGAACATCAGTTCCTGAATCGGATGCGACGATTTGAAATTCACCACAAGCCGTTTTCGTGCCGACTCATCGGACAAAAAAAATGTCTCCTTCCTTTTTTTTTCAATTCAGAAGCTTCGAAACAGGGGGAAAGACAGGACAAGGAAGTAAGACTAGCAGCATAATGCAACAGGCGATGGTTCAGCCGGTCCAGTCATGGGCTAGAAATCGTTTTCCTTCTTTTTTTTTCGGCCAACTTCCGAATTGCAGTCATTCCTTGACGCCAAGGCCACACCACACAGGAAGCCAGGGCGACAACTAAAGCGGAATCCGCACCATCCCAGGGACTCAGGGCGTATAATTACCATTCGTGACTCGACGGAAAAAAGTCGACCGGCGAAGAAGAGCTTGAACAAGTCAGTCAGGCCTGAAACAAGATCTTCATCGGCTAAAAGGTCGCTGGACTCTCGATATCATCGTGACGCGATCCTTCACCTTTTCACTCCAATCCCTGCACGTATACTTTCTTTCGAACCGTTTTTTACAATTTTAAACGGAATTTCAGAGCATTCCGAACTGCAGGGACAAATATAAAAATCCCTCTGACAAAAACCGTTCAGCCCAACATTGATGAAGCACTAAAGTGAACCGACCGTTTACTTGAGACGTTAAGGTGGAAAGGCAAATTCAGAGTAGCCTCCATAAACCGAACCGTTAAGCAATCTCTGAACCAGATATTTCAGCGAAATCTTCGCAGCATTCACGACCTTTCAATTTCTTCCTGAAAGCATCAGCCAAGTACAGTATCGCATTCGAAATGCGACATAACGTCAAACTATTTTAAGTAGATTTTTCAGGGACGACTCGAATCACTTCCATCAACAAATACAATATGAAATCCGCTAGCGCAATAATATGAGCCCAATCATTGCAGTCAATGACAAACATGTGACTCGATACAAAAATTATCATCAAAAATCGTTCGGGGAGGAGTTTTATGGTGAAGTGCTGCATTGATGTCGTTTTTTATGGCGTAAATGGAACTCCCAAAATGATAATAAAAATAATAATCCCAAAAATAACTTTTTTAGATAAAATTTTCCTGCAGTAGCGAAATGAGCATTCCCATGTGATTGTTTAATTCGTCACTCCAGGCAGAAAAATTACGTGACTCCAAAATTTTGAGAAACACTTAGAAAGCATGAAATATTTTGGAGTCCAGACAATGTTTTTGAATGCTCTGAACCGTCTTAGTTTTTTTTATGTATTCGCACTACTGTATCGAAAAGATCAGAATGATCCTGCCAAAGGAAAATAACGACATTATGCGAAATTTTTCCCGCAGTGATCGAATCTGAACTTCCCCTTTCATCTTTCAAATCTTTTCATCTCTCAAAATTAAGGAGCAAACGACCCGAACGTGGACGGAAACAATCCCGAGACAAGTTCGTCGTCTTTCAGGTCCGAGCTCCCTGAAAGAAAACACAGAGGTGCGTCTAAGGGTTCTTATCGGTTTCACTGCATGTCTCCTTCGATAATACCACTACTACGGTAGTCGGCATATGGCGTTGAACACTGTAAGATAATTAATCTGATGGCAAGAATAATACGAACATCTGCGACCCGCGAGCCCGCACAAGCGCGTCGACGCACGGAGGGAAAAAGTTCACCCTTGTTCCCAATGTGATCTACGTATCTCTTCGCGTGTTAAACACATATTTTTCTGGAACAAGACTATCGAAAAAAAAAACCATATCTCAGATGTGGCCGATTCTTGAGATAGGCCGCAACGCAGTCACGAATAACCATATCGCGATAATGTGCCATTTACGGTATAAAAATAAATAAATAAATAAAACATTCAATTGAACGATACCAAAAGACTATCAAAGAGCATCAATCCCACTGCAAGTAATCTGGTGGGAATTCGGAAACAATATGCTCATGCTTCAGCAAGATTCAAATGAGGTAGTAAGTTGGATTATACTGAATATAAAAACAATAGTCCATTATGTTGTTCCTCATCTTCCACACACAACATGTTTTCAAATTTCTCCATTCAAAAATCGTCGGTACCTGGATTGACCGCGTTTACTCGAGTACCACGCGCACCCCTTTTTTTCTCCAAAACTATGAAACAAATAGGGTGCGCTTCATAGGCAGTTATACAATTTTTCAGAAATTTCCGATCTTTGGTTCACATCAACCTTGATTCTACTGGTAAT